CGTGATACAAGGTGGAAATGTTCCAGGGTCATGCAGCTCAATATACATTCAAATAATGGTTTTTCTCAGAGAAATTAAAGATACTTAAAAAAAAATCTAGTGATTTTAGGGATAAATTTAATGGCAATTAAGGCATAGCTAGCTACCCGTTTGCATCTCCCCACCAATTGTCCTTAAAACATGTTAGCTTTGCTAAAAGTTTTTGACACTAATGGTGCCAGTGCTAAAGCCCTCTGAGGAAAGCATGAATGAGAGATGTCATACTTATTCTGACATCGTAGAGAATACCCTGACATACTAGTCTTCTAGATATTAATGCATTGGATCTCTGGAAGTCTTTCAGCTTGGTAAATGACTGCTGGTTCACTCGTGTGATGTGAATGATAGAATCACAAAAGGCTATGGATGACAAGAAATTGGATGTGTTGTTTCAGAAGTGCAATAGTTATTAGTCTCTGAAAGGTTGATGAGATTATGTTCCCATGGGAGTAGTCTTCCTGTAGATGTGTGACCAGGGCCTACCTTGTTTCTCAGGTCATCTGCCCATTAGCTGTTTTCTTAGGAAGAGGATGAGTGACAGGAAGGCTCCTGTGTAGCTCTTCCTCTGATTCCTTAGCAGGCCAAACTGGAGGACACAGATGCGTTCTTAAACAAGTGTGCGACACATTCTGCTACTTTTATGAAAACTGCTTTTATTCTGATAGCCACTCAACCAGGGCTCTTCTGTTTGTATATTGTGACATGACAAGTGCCTCCATAATTCTTGGCATCTTGTATGGATTAATGTTAATTTTTGGTACACATAGATGAGATTCTTAGAGTGAATTAGTAATTCTTCAAGATATTGTAATACTGGAACAAATTAATCTAGTAAAGAATTGGCATTCCAGACTTGGTATTTAAACATTTTGCTAAACTTTCCCCCCAGAATTGTTAATACTTAACAGAATTACTTTAGTAATGCTTTCTCTTCATCTTCCTATCTCCAGAGTAGATAACTTAAAAATATTGACAAGTGAAAGATCTAAATTAAATTAAAACAAATAACAAAATAAAGTATTGACTAAAGCCATGTATATATTGTATTTACCTAAGAGTTCTTAAGGGCACTGAAAGAATTTCTTTCACAGCTTTTACAAAAGGACAAACAGGTGTAGAAATCGAGCATATATGTTTAATTTTTATAGAAGCTTCACTGTGTGTGTCATGGTTGGGGATGAAGCCTGTCTCAGTGCTGGGCACATAGTACATGCTTAGTAAAGCATGTGGCAGTCTTCCTGTGCCTGTTTGGGCAGAGGTCAGAGCTGCCCTACGGTGGAAGGACGTTCTTTCCAGCATCCCTTATTCTCATTGCAGTCTTCATCACTGAGCTCATTTGAAAGAATGCAAGTGCTTTAGTGCATTGTAGCAGAACATATCACTCATCTCCTTGCCCATTTCCATCCTTTTCGCCTTCCTCTCACTGTTCCTACATTTTCTTAAATATATCTGTAATTATTTAGTACCCATTCAAATACTACACAGTTTTTGAGTCACTTGAAGGTAAGATATCAAAACCACTCTGCACTGTTATAACTGTAGTGGGATAATTGCTCTGTGGGTGCAGATCCACAGATAATTTCATGTTATTCTGTTATGTTCCTCAGAGGTTAGAAAAAGGACAACTGCTTGTCCTGCCCTGAAGAACATGCACAGTAAGGAGGGAATGAAACTAGTCTCTAGGAAGTACACACCTCTGCGTGTACTATACACACCTGTGCACTACACCACTTAGAGAGCACATCAGAATAGAAATACAACTGGGAAATGATGGTCCTTCTAAAGGGGAGGCAGCACAAGTGTGTGGGGAAGGAAGGCTGTGGAGAACAAGGAGCTTTGCCTTCATAGCTAAGTGAGAAATGCTGAGCTCATTCTCACTGGCCTTCTGCGTTCCCGCCAACATTTTTAAATATTGTATTTTCCCTTCAAAGAAGATGTGTTGGTCTTTTCTTTTGTCCCATGTGATTCATGTAACAATGCATTGTTTTTAGTTAGAGTACAATTACTTTGAAAATAATATACATCTGTATGGTGATGTCTAATCAGGTAACTAAGGTTCACTGATAGGGCAGTCAGGCATTTCTACTCAAGGTTCTTTGGCACATACGTGACACCATACAGTTGAAAGTTAGGTTGGATATTCTATGAATGCCTTTTGTAATAAGAAGGAGGGAACCCTACGAGCGCTCAATTTGGAGACCATGCATCGGACTGGTGTTTCTTAAAGGTAATATTTGGAGGCTGGATTTGGGGAACTGAAAATCAGTCTTCGGTTTTACCTCTGAATATTTTTACTCTTTTTCTGCATTGAAATGGCTTTACTGGTCTCCAGTCAGTGTTGACAATATAAGTAAATTATCAGTCCATATTCATCTAGCTGATATGTCTTCGTGTTCCTAAATTGGAAGTGAGAAGCTGCTAATTAAATTTTAATCTAGCAGATCTGCACACTTGAAAAGTACAAAGTGTAAAATATATACTAATGCCCTTTGAAATAAACCTAATTTTGGAAGGTAATTTAGTTGTTCTCAGTTGAAAGGAGTCTATTTTATGTTTATTTTTTGTCATGCAATATTTTGCTTTGGTTTATAAGTGCAGATAAAGGCTCCTGTGCGCACTAGGAGAGAATGTGACAAAATCAGAGATTGGCATAGTCACTTGGTGAAGCCATTTTCAGTTAAAAGGGAAGGACACATGAACTGTCTGAAACCTAAGGACGCTGCTAATTAGAAGGAAGCATTTGGAGATGCTGGATGGAAGCTTGTAACACACTGTTTGGAATTTTCCTCATTACCTTACAAAATGAATGCCATACTTAGATTCTATTAAACTTCAAGGGTTTTGCTTTGTTTTTTAATTGGCGATCTTTAGAAATATTGGCCCTTTCTATCCAAACTACATATGTTGTCAGAAAAGTTGGGCCCAAGCTACCTGGTTGTAGTGTGGATTAATGTAATCGCTGCTTTTCTCTAATACATGCTGTTTAAAGCACAGGTGTTTCTTTGTTGGCTGAATACTGTCTGATTTTCATTACCGTGTAATTTACCTGCATGAAGATTAAGAAAGCTCCTTCTTATTAAATAAGCTTGAAAACAAGATGAATGCACTAGGTTCCTTGGTACAAAATATTGGATAGCTCCTTTTATAATGAGCATTTAAAAACTTGCCCTCCAAAACCTAGAAAATGCATTCTCTCCTGTATGGAAAGCGATACAGGACTGAAATATTCCTCCTTAATTTTGGTCTGAACGAACAAAAGTGTCTGTGTTTATTCCTGCCTAATGCATCACAAATCTGCTGACATGCTAACCTTGGAGTCTTGGCTGGCGTTAATCAGGCCTGCGCACCGGCAGGAAAGATGTACCTAATGCACTCCATCAGTGCAGTTTGCATATGGAAGTTCTCACAGGGGAGCTGCCCTGTGCCAGCTGAGGGTTACCTGCCCACTGCAGTTATTGTATGTAATTATCGAACCAATCTGTTCAGCCCAGCAGGGTTTAGATGGTAATCATGAAGCAACACTTTGGAAAAGAAAGATGGAAGGCACTTTCCCCTCTCCTATCAGTTATGTGAAGTTGTAGTGACTCTTATAGCTATGATTGAGAAACAATACCTTCATACACAAATCCGTTAAATGAATCCCTTTTAAAGTTACTTAGGGTTATTAAGTTTTGAATATGTGAAACCTTTTCTTTCGGAGCATGGTGGGTTTCTCTGAGTCCTGATCTTTCCACAGTCACCCCAGGCATTTAGGATTGTGATATACAGATAATAATAGTTCTGACCATTTGAGGGCTTTAAGATAATGGCGCTTGCACAGACTGTACAGCCTTCTTGTACAGTTCTCTAAGGAACAGGGCCCACGTCCGCTGTCAGGGACCATAGCAGTTGTCAGCAGGTTCATCTTCCTTTAGAGCTATCACAGAATGGTCACAGCAAGCAGTATTCTCATATGAAGTCTAATGTGTCCATTGTTAGGAAATACAAATGGGACATCCTTGCTGCATTATGATCCTGTGAAATTTGAGACAGATTGTTTCCTAAATGATCTCTACTTACTTTAGCAAAATGAGATAAGTTATAACTTAAACTTTGGATTTTTGCACATTGAAATTTGGAACAGCATGGGGTAAAGTTATGACAAATACAGAAGTTTTACATTTGTTATGAGTGTCCTTCTGTGCTTAGACAAACATTACATAATTTGACTTTGGACTGGATTCGGTAGTGTATGTTATAGTGACAGGATTTAATAAAAAACAGATTCTTGCACCTTTGGGAAGAAGGAAAAGTGACAGGATATCATCACTGTCTCCCAAAATACCTAGCTGGGAAGATAAATAGGAAGAGGAGTGGCCGAAGAGAATGGTGGGAAATCCACATGCTTTTTAAGGTTTTAGGAGCGTGTTACACTTTGATGGTTATTCATTTACTGTAAAGTTTGTAACCCTCTTACTTAAACATTTAGTAAAATGTAATGTAGAAGAGAAACATTGGTTAGAAATGTGTCCTTGCTTATTATTGAGGAGGACTTTACCAACCACTGTTAGGTTGTGTATGTGAGGCAGAGCATGTGTTATTTCTCAAGTAGTTCTCCTGTCCCCTCTCCTTTCCCCCACCCCCTCCCCAATTGTGGATAGTTGCTCTGATCAGCAATGTGATCAGCAACAGCTGACATAGCTTTTAGTGATGAAGTTAGACTTGATCATCAGTAAAACACTCAAAATTCAGACTGACTACATATGTAGCTAGAAGTTCTCTTCTGTTTTGTTCCACTCCCATTTCTTCCTCACAAACCATGATATTGAAGTTGGGAATATTCTTCCTATGTTTTGTCACAGCCCTATTTAGACATATTCATATGTATACCAGTGTATGTTGTTTATTTATTTCTTTGACTATCAGACCATATCTCCTCTCTCTCTCTCTCTCTCTTTGTCTTTTAAATTTTTATCCATAAGAAGCGAAAGAAAGATGAAAGCACAGCTTCCAGTGTTGAAGATATGGAATGCTCAAGCACACAGACAGAGGAGGCCATCCAGACCCGTAAGTTGAGCACTTTTGCCTAACTTCTTCTGCATGTTGGTACAGATTTGCATTTTCTCCCACTAGATGAGGAGGTAACCATTGGGTTCATAGTACTTTGAGTTTACTACAAATATCACGAATAGAGCTTATATCTGCATAGTATGTGCTGGGATATCTTCTGTAAATACTCTGTGGTTTCCTCTTCACAGCAGTCATGAAGTTGGGGATGGGGAGCTGCCCTCACTGTGCAGATGTGGAACCTGAGACACTGACTACTTAAATGTCAGTGCCATTGTGACAGGGAGAGAGGTAGAGAATTCTTCACTGGTAGCCAGTAGCTCTGCACTCCCTCACATTTGTCCACCTAACTTGAAGGATGTAGTAAAGTTAGTCAGTACCTGTGAGCTTCCGCTTGCCTGAGTTGCCTGATCTTTCCCCGTAAAGTCTATCTAACAGCTCTTCTCTTCACAAGTCAGGAGGCAAGGGGGTAAAGCTTGGACTCGACACTTCTCAAAACTCTTGAAGTGAAGTTGTTTCTTAGGTGGCTTATCAGCAGGTGCAGAAGGTACTTCCTATGGAGTAGTAGTTGTAGAAATGGATGTAGCAAAGACCACACATGTCAGCAAGTGGCACAATTAGTCAGTGTGTACCAGTCCAATGAGATGTTTTCCTTCACTCCTTCACTCCATGGAGAGATGTAGTTCTGCCCACATCATCTTTTTTTTAAAATATAATTTTTTATTATTATTAAGGGGTTGTACAGAGGGAGTTACCAAGTCAGGTACATTTCTATTTTTGGACAATGTCACCCCTTCCTTTGCTTTCCCTTTTTTAAGACCTCCACACCTCCATGTTTTTTGTTGGTCCTGATACAGTTTTTGATTTTCAGTGAGAAGACTTAAGTTTTGGTAAAAATTTTAGTATAGCATGAATGCCTTTGTGAGCCAGGCCAACGCTGCATGCCCTTCCTTTTTGACAGTGGCCTGATATGTGTGTGAGGAAAGCAAAGTACTGGAATTTCAAAGGTAGTGATCTTTGTCCTGAGCTGATGAACATTTTCTACATTATCTATTATGGATAGGACATCATTATGTTTATGTTCATTTGCTCAGAATCCTTAGGATGCCCGCAGAGGCCTTTCCTCTGGAGGTCCAAAGTTTTGAAGTCGTCCCCCTCTTTTTTTTCTGCTGCTGTCAATCCATTTGCTACTGTTTTGGTTTTTTATTTCCTCCTCCCCTGTCTTGTTCATTTTGTTACTAGGAAGTGAGGACTCCCGAGGAGCAATACATGGAAGCATGTCTCAGCCAGAGGCTAGCAGCAGCAGCTATGACAGTGAGTGGGGACAAATTAAGGAGCTCACTCCTGTAATCCTAGTCACTTTAGGAGGCTTAGATTTGGAAGATCATGGTTCAAAGCCAGCTGGTCAGAACAATCTGAGACTCACCTCTCCAATTAACCAGCCGTGTCAGACTGCAGGGTATGGTTCAAGTAGTAGAGTACCAGCCTGTGCAAGAAGGCTGAGTAAGAGCTCATGGCCCTGAGTGCAGTCGCTGGTACCAGCACCAAAAAGGGGGAAAAATGTAGGAGTATCTATTAGAGTGATATTCTTGCTTTAAAAGAAGTCCCTTGAATTTTACAAGTAGCAGTTTCAGTTTAGGAAAGGCCCTGAATTGTTAGGCTGATGTTGGGCCCTAGCTCTTAAAGACAGGTCTCAAGCTTTGAACCGGGAAGTCTTATGCTCTCTTCAGTGACTGCAGGTCACGTGCTACCTGAACTTTGCTTAATGAGCACCAGAGCTTCAGATCGATGAGTGAGCTTAAATCTAGTTTTAACTATGGGAAATGTTTCTAGTGCCTAAAATTTTAACATGAATTCTTCTTGCTAATAGTTCTTCATGTCAGAATAGGATTTTTGTTATTTTATTAATGAGGAAAGAGACTAGATATAACTGAAGGAGAACAATTCAGATTTTTGATATTGCATTTTTAAGATAAGTAAATCAATTTCTCGTTTTTCATATAGAATCTGAGTTTCTTTGTTTAGATTAAAAAAATATTTCCCTAGCCAGGCCCTGGTGGCTCACACCTGTAATCCTAGCTTCTCAGGAGGCTGAGATCCTCAGATTGTGGTTCAAAGCCAGCCTGGGCAGGAAAGTTCCCTGTGACACTCGTCTTCAGTTAACCACCAGAAAACGGGAAGTGACGCTGTGGTTCAAGGTGGTAGAGCACTAGCCTTGAGCAAAAGAGCTTAGGGACAGCACCCAGGCCCCGAGTTCAAGCCCCATGACAGAAAAAAAAACCAAAAAATTTCCATTGTAGTTCTTTTGGTCCCCCTAAAGTACAAGCCAGTTAAGGTATCTGACATCAAAACATTCATAAAAGGGAAATATTTCCCCAAATGATAAAATGTTATTGTTTCTAGCAAAAAAAAAAGGGAAAAAAGGATTTGCATGAAAAAGTATATAATTATATATATTTTAAAATACAAATCCATATATATTTTATAGATTCAGCAGCTTAAAGTAATTTGAAGGAGCAGGCTTGGTACTACATTTGGAGTTTTTAATTTTTACGACATATGTAATGCAATTTAGTGCATTTTGTGGTTGAGAGCTCTAAGATTTCATGTCATAAATGTATTTCAAGAATGGTTACCTCTAACAACAGCTTTAGAAATGTCAGTTTCTTCATTAACAATTTTATTTTCAAACACAGTTTATGGTTTACAATATGGTGAGAGATTTTTCTCACTGTGTGATCTTTCAGAATGCTGTGCCTAGCAAGATGGAGCAACTTTCCTTTAATATCTATTTAGACCATTGTAAAAACGTGTATAATTTTCTTGATACACCTAAACTCATTTTGAATAGCTGGGGGTCTATTGTGTGGGAACATATTCTGAAAGCTTTCCCCATGTGTATTGTGTAGGTTTTCTCAGAGAAAGAGAGGGGTGATGGGGGGGTGTTCGGGAAGAACAGAGGCCTCTAATCCTTTTATTTTTATGCAAGGCATAATTTTTACCAATTGAGAAAATTTGGTTATTTGCTGCAAGTAATTTTTCTCCCTCAGAAAATGATTAGTCTTAAAAAAAATCATGCATATTCTGGCACTTGAAACCATCCCAATATTTCAGAATTGTACTAAAAATTAGTTAGTGTAGTCATGATATTTATAGCTGGTGTACTCTGGTTCCTGAAATGGAGACTTCTTGTTGGAGTTCATTTTGAAGTCCTGTGGGTTTGGACATCTTCTGCATTCTGTGTGACGCACACATTAGGGCACTGCACCAGGAAATCTCCCACTCCCACTTCTCGCATTTTAAAAATCAGAGAGGAATGTCACAGCCTTGTGTAGCTTATTTTTCAACCATCAAATCTTCTGCACTAGTTTTATGATTGGACTCATCAGCAGTAGTAGTATTTTATGAACATGGCTATTTTAATCTAAAGAGACAAGACAGTAGTTTTTCTTGAAGCAATTGGCATTGATATTGGGGGAATGTTGGATTGATGCAGGCAGTACAGTTTTTAGGGTACTTATCCCTGAGTATGTTCTAGGTCCACGTGTTTTCAGCACTTGGAATTACAGTGGGAAACATTCAGTCTAGATTTGGGAATAAACAGCAGTATTTAAGAGCAAAATGCCAAGTGAGGGGATTATGGTGCTATTTGAATTAGTGCTCTTTGTCATGTGTGGATGGCCTCGGTATTTGAAAGGCTGATACAGTAAGAATATCTCTTCTTGACCTTGGTTTGTGATATCCCATGACAGCAATCTAAAGCACCATTTACAAAATTTTCTGTGCAGAATTAACTTCAAAATTCTCCAGATAAAATGCTAAAAATCCACTATGCTTATTTTTAATAGCTGTATCACAGAAATTAAAGAGAAACCTCCGATTGTTACGTCATCCATAGCATATGGTTTGAATGGCAGGAATTTAAAATTTGAACTGTTTCTCAATTAAATTGAAACTATAACTTGGAAAAATAAAAAGAAATGTTCATTTTTAAACTGATCATCCAATTAAGTAACAATTTAAACCCATTATCAGAAAGCAACTAAAAAGTATTTAGTATACATATGTCAGTTGTGTGACATGGTATGTGACGTTCACAGGAGAAATGCTGGCTCTTTGTTGTTCTTGTGTTTGTCACTTAACAGCCGGCCAGGATGCCCATTGGTGTGGTGCCCAGCTCCTTCCTGGAGAGAGAACCCAGCTCACAGCCACAGCTCAAGGGAGCAAAATGCCACACTGGTGGGCCTGTACTAGGCAGTGTGGTCAGGCGGAGATGCATAGGTGGGGGGAGGGGTGTTGAGTAGCCTCTTTGGTGAGGAAGAAACATCTCCCCACCCCCACACTGAGAATCCCTTAATAATTCCAACCCTGGAAAAGTTGGATAGGAGCTATTTATAGTAGCCTTAGACCAGGATCAGCTGTGATTTTCTAGTGAAAGAGACTTCCTTTTTAACATACCTCGGTGCTCTGATGCCTAGGACCCATTGCAACAATGAGATGTACAAGTCGTTATGTTGAAAAATGAACTTCACAACTTTAGCAGGGGGCTGGGTGGTGGGCAGGGTGGGGGGAGATGGGAAGGGATGGGAAGGGGAAACAAAGGAGGAGGCAACAATGCGTGATAAGAAATGTACTCATTATCTTGCCCATATAACCCCTCTGTATGGTATTTTCACAATAAAAAGAATTCTAGAAAAAAAAGAAATAGGCTTTTAAAAAGCAGCTCATTTTAGAATAAAAGTACTTGCTTTTCATACCAAGTGTGACCTCAGTATCTCCCAAAGAATAAATGCTTGTAGCCACAGTTGATATTTGGCGCTAATGATTGAAATTTTTGTAGTAATGAAATTGAGGGAAGTAGTTCAGTAGCAGTGTATATTGGTGTTTCAGTATTTTACCAGTGGAAGAGCTAGCAGTTAAGGTTAGGAGTAGAGTTTGTTAGTTTATACTTTTGTGTATTAGAATAATGGACACAGTTTGCTAACAGTTTTAGGATTGTAACATGCTCCCATCAGTCAATTAGTGTCTTAAAATATTAATAACTGTCTAACAGTGTTTGTATTGCTGTTCTCTTGCTTTTATCAATTAATGATTGGTTATTTAAATTTCTTTGATTTTTAAGGTTCAAGAACCAGAAAAAGAGTCCAGAAGTAACTCAAATGCTGGAAATCGACTTTTCTGCTTGTTTGACTTTTTCTCTTTTTCTCTTTTGTTTTATTTCATGTGAGTTCTTGTGGGGTGGGAGTAATAATTAAATACCTGTTTTTTTGAAAACAAATTCTTTTATTAAAATGGATATTTTGTACAATTTATTGAGGACTAATTTATGAAATTGCAAAGTCTTAGATTGTGTACATGGCTGAGATTTGAAGTATGTACAAGACTTTCCTAATCATTGTGCGTTTCTCAGAGTGGGTAGAAATGTTTGACAAGTCTTCACTGTTAAGGATATGCAACACTTTAAGGTCTCCTTGGCTCAATACAAATACATAATTTGTTGTGGCAATGAAGTTTGGTTTGTATTGATTTTGTTCTTCACCACAGCATTTGTTGAGCATTCACTGATGAGACAGAAGCTTCAAAAAAGGGCCAGAATACACATCTGTGTGGAGAAAAGTTAGAGGACACGGGATCAAGAAAGTGTTCCAGTTCTACAACAAGATGGGTGAGAAATTGTCAAGTGCAGTCACAGACTGTGCCAAGCCTGGCTTCTGTGAAGGAAGTGTGTCCATGAGCTAGATTTGTACAGCTCTTGTTCACCGATTATTTGCTTATAAGTTTTGTTGTTGTAGCAAATGGTATTTGTATAGCAAAACAAACACTGTTGAATTTTAGTGATTAGAAAATTTTAATATAGTGTTTCTCTTACCTGGGAACAGAATCTCAGATTTTTAACATTTATGGGCAAGATATATTTCTCAAAGTTTACTTTGTTAAAAAACTTGTCATTGAGGGATGGGAAGGTGTCTTAGTGGTAGAGTGCTTGCCTTGCATGCATGAGGCCCTGGGTTCGATTCCTCAGTACCACATAAGCAGGAAAAGCCAGAAGTGGCTCTGTGGCTCAAGTGTAGAGTGCTACCCTTGAGCAGAAGAATTGAGGGACAGTGCCAAGGCCCAGAGTTCAGGTCCTACAACCACCACCACCAACAACAAACAAGTTGGCATTGGATACCTTTTCACTTGGAGTGGTATTTAGATGTTTAGGAATTTTAAGATCCCCAACAGAGTTGGGGATGTAGCTTAGAGGTAGAGTGCTTTCCTAGTATGTGAGGCCTTGAGTTCAGTCCTTAACACTATAAAAAAATAATTATGTGGGGCTGGGAAGTGGTAGACTGGTAGCCTTGTATGCATAAGGCCCTGGGTTCGATTCCTCAGTACCACATAAGCAGGAAAAGCCAGAAGTGGCACTGTGGCTCAAGTGTAGAGTGCTACCCTTGAGCAGAAGAATTGAGGGACAGTGCCCAGGCCCAGAGTTTAGGTCCCACGACCTGGGGGGAAAAATTGTGTGTGTGTGTGTGTGTGTGTGTGTGTGTGTAAGAAAGAGTGAGAGAGAAAGAGAGAGAGAGAGTGTGTGTGTGTATGTGTGTATGTGTGTGGTGCTTAGGGCAAACCTGAAGTAGGTATTTCAGTGTTGTTGTTTTTTTTAATTTTTGTTGTCCTTAAGTAGTTGTAGAAAGGAGCTGCCATTCAACAAAGCAATTTATGAATGCAGTGTGCCTTGATCAGTGGTACCCCTTTCAACATTCTCACCGGACCCTCCCAAAGTATTTCAGTTTTATAAGACAAATTGATTGGAGAACATATCGAGTAAATAGTCATGTAAGTGGGCCATGGACATAGACATGTCCAAGGTTTGAGAAATGGTGAAAATAGCACCAGTAATGAATTTTTGGCTCTCTGGTGGGAATATTTCGTTGTCATGTGAAGTATTTTAGCACTGTAATGGTCATACAGTAAAAATGCAACTCAGATCTGCAGACTCAGATCTGTAGGCCTCCTGAAGACCTATGAGCTCTGCATTTACAGAACAGAGAATTAGGTTTGGGCCAGAGACCCCTGCTTCTTGAAAATTTGGATTTTCATACTCATCAGTGTTGTGTCCTAAGTTTATTTTTCACACCTAAATCAACTCTGGAGTTCTGTTTTAAATACATTGGTGCTTAAAATAGGATACAATGTGTGTGGCGTGTTTTGTATATATGCCTTAGCTTTTTTTAGTTTTCAAAACACAAAATATAGCAAAACCTGTTGGTTAAATATTAAGGAAACAAATATTTCCTCACATATTGTTTTAAACAAGTGCTGACATTTTCTCAAATGTTACTATATTGGCAAGGCTACAGAAATTAATGAAAAACTACTAGCCAGAAGTAGCCCATTTGATTTACCAGCTCTGCCCCTCATTCTGTGTGCTTTCCTTCCTGCGGCAACAGCCTTTATTTTTAAGACATGGTTAAGCAGCCTCCTTGTCATTCGAGATGTTTTGCCCTTTTAGTTTCATATTTCTTATTTTTATCTTGCCTTATTTTTTATTTTCTTTCCAGTCTTGAGTGGAGTGGATTTGCTGTCTTCATTTCCCCCTGAGTCCAGCTTCCTGGCTCTGTGGTGTCTTAGGTGCCATTAGTCCTGTCCTTTGTTGCCATTCTGTTGAGGATTTTGTGGGGGCTTTATTGTCTGTTGAGGGTCAGCACCCATAGTGCCCTCTTGTCCTTCCCTCAAGAACATTCCAGTGTGTTCTCCATTTTCTGCAAAGCAGCTGATAAGTCTTTGGTCCCTACTAAGCCCCAAAGTAAAATAGCTTCTCAGTGTTCTTTTAACGGTGGCTTGTTGAGATAAAACCCTGAGTTTTACTATTTTAAAACTGACTTTCAATTACTAAATTAAAGGTGCACATAAAGATCCAAATTACATAGCAAGAAATTAGTGGGGAAAATAGAAGTAATTTCTGTCTGCCTATGTATTACTGAGCATTTTGATGTTTAGTCTTTAGAGTTCCATTGTTATTGTAGTAGACCCTTGGTGTCCACAGGCATACAGTTCCAGTCCCTGGAACTGTTCATTGTATTGTTGGAGCTCTGTGAATTTCCCGTTAACACTTCTGCCCTTGACAGCAAATCTCAGATTTTCACTTTATCTCTGTAATTAATCACATTCACTTCTACCTTGCTTTGAAGGCACTGTTTGCTCTTTGGCAGGCAGATTTCCACAAAATTAAAGGTAGGGAATTCAGCAGAACACAAAATGATTTTAACAAAACTGATGACTTTGCAGGACCTCACGGAATCTCTCATCAACCAAGCTATGTAATGTGTCTTGGGAGTTAAAATTTTTGTTCTAAAAATTCATTCAAGCCGGGTGCCAGTGGCTCAGGCCTGTAATCTTAACTACTCAGGAAGGAAGCTGAGATCTGAGCATCGCAATTTGAACCCAACCTGGCCAGGAAAGACTGTGAGACTCTGCTCTCCAATTAACCAGCAAAAAAAACTGTAAATGGAGTTGTGGCTCCAGTGGTAGAGCTAGTGCTTGAGCAGAAAAAGGTGAGGGACAGTGTTTAGGCCCTGAGTTTAAGCCCCAGGACCAGTGACAAGCGCACATGCGTGTGCGCTTGCACACACACACACACACACACACACACACTCTATTTCATCTCCCTGATATCTCCCTCCCGCCGCCCCTCCCCCCACCCCCCCCAAGCTTGGTCCAAGCTAAGAATAAGTCAACAAAGTAGGCTTTACTGTATTGTGATTAACAAATTTGATAATGTATGGTCATTGTGGAAAATTTAGAATGCATAAGTCATACAAGCCACAGGCAGCCACTGCTAACCTTTTCATATTTTCTTCTTTTTTTCCCTATAGATTTAGTCTTTTTATTATTTAGTAAAACTTTATATTCTGCATTTTAAAGCTAACAGTATTTCTCATATTATTACAAATAATGTTGAATATAATTTTGTTTTCATGTTTTTTTTTCTTATGGATTTAGGGTATTTTCCTGTTTCCTTGTTTTCAGTCATAGCGTAATTTTAATAGTATTCTAAAACAAAAAGCAAATCCCTGGGTCCAAGACTGTGAAGTGCAAAGTTGCCAGATAGATTCATATTATGAGATTATTTTGCTGAAGCTTTACTGATTCACACCTTGCCCAATCAGTGGAAGTCCCTTTCTTGCCTCCTATCATCCTCTATGCTTTCTTACCCAGGTCTATGTGATGGATTAGAAGATGTACCTAGGAAGGGAGGTATTAGGACTTGAGGGTGGAGTCCTGGTGCATGGGATTTTGTCAGAGCTCTAATGCATAATAGCCCTTGGCAATTCAGGGAAAGGCCCTCACAGGAGTAGCACCTGCCCTGCTGTGACCTTGGGCTTGAGAACTGTGAGCATTTAAATGAGTCTGGTTGCTGTATTTTTGTTACAAAGCCCAAATAAAACATTGTTAATTTTGTTATTTGGTACTAGGGTAATTTAAAAAAAATTCTAGTAAACTTGGACAACTCTTTGTTTGTAAACGAAGCATTCTCTTTTCTTTTTGGTGTATTGGTTCTGTTTATGGACTAATGACTGAAATCCTGTATCGTGTTTGGCTGACTTTTTCCTGATTATATGTGTTGAATACTTTTTAATTTTCGTAAAAAGTTTAGTTTTTGTGGCTTTAGTCTGTTTAGTCTTTTCATTGTGATTTCTGCCACTGTTTTAAAATATTTTCTAACCAGAAATCAGAAATAGTTACCGTGACTTTTTTTAGGCTATGGTTCCAATGCTTCTGAACTGTCAATTAGCTTAGATGAATGTATATGTTGAGGAGAGGATCACTTTTTTTTTCCCCCTTCACACAGTTGACAGTATTCTAGTACCATTTGTTAAAATAAATTGATCTCCCCAATCTTCCTCCACCCTGGTTTGTGCTGTCTCTTTATTCCTAGAGTTCTTGTACCAGGTCTGTTTCTTGCTGTTTGATTTCATTGATCTGTCCTTAAAGCTATCAGCACTGATTTAACTAATGTCATTTACTTATTTTTTTAATTTATTTTCCAATGAACATTTAAAGAAATCAAGACAAGGCAAAACTCACCTATCTCACCACCACCACTACCAAAGTCAGACTGTCCTTTACTCCATGCTACACTCCCACCGTCATGACAGTACCAAGTCCACTGGTTATTCTGTAAGCTCTTCATTCATTGTTCTCAGTGCCATGGGAGGAACAAGACAGACTGGAGGATCCGTGATGGAAAAGGGATCATTATGTGAGTACACCTCTAAACTGTGTGCATAATCTTGAAAGTCTGCCCTTGGCTAGATGGTATTGACAG